TACCGCTGCCCCACGCCGCCGACAGAGGGCACAGCGCGGGGGCGAAGCGCTGAAGTCCAAGGCTCCCTCCTCTTCCGAGAGCACTTCGGGTTTTTCCGGAAGAGCCCGAGCTCCAGGCGGACCCGCTTCGGCGTCCCATCAGACTTCGGCTCCTTCCGAAAGGGGCGGAGGAAGACTGGGAAGCTCTCGGGATGTTCGGCCCTTTCCGGAGGGCGAAAGGGTGGGAAAAAGGAAAGGGGAAGATGGAGCGACGCAGTCACAAGCGATGGGGATGGAAGGGAAGCTAGTCGCTTTCATCTAAATTCAGTGTAAACGTCTCGCGTGAAATCTTTGAGAGATTATCCGGGTTCCATTTCTTCTGCAAATTTGAAACTGCTCTATTAGCTTGTTTCTTGGATGATAAACCACCTCGAAATATAATCTGAAGAAATATAATCAAATTTTGTCAACTCAAATCAAATTCTAGGATAACAAGATAACTACATTACAGTAACTACTTTTAGGAAATAAAGCTAGTGTCTGGACAAGTACTATCTTCTTAATGGACTACTAAATGATGCTAATTTCTTCATTTTGACTATCGCTTACTTACCACCTGTTTGATCTGTACCAAATCTTATGCTAGGTTCTGTGGAATACAAAAATGAATAAGCCAAAGTCTCTACCTTTTCAAAGAACTCAGGAGATAGGTACCCAAACGTGGACAAAAGTGTTTGTACAAGGTATAGAACACATAGAAGGGAATAGCAAACTGAATGTTAACATTTGAGCTGTATCATTAACACTTGCATTGTTGATTTATGTTTATTTTCATAGCATTTCCTCCTCAGATGGCTTTAGCGCCTGACACATAGTAGGTGTTCAATAATTGTTTAATGAATGAATAAATGAGTTGTAATTTTTTTTGAAATCCTCTGGTAATGCCCTTCCGACTGAGTACCATGATGAATGAAACAACAGGATAGGTGTTTAGAGAACAAAATATTTCTCTTTCAGTTGGTTATTGATCATATTCAACTAAGGAACCAAAATAGTAGCTTTTTTCCTTCAGCAATGAAGGCCATTCACTACTTTCATTTTCTTTTTTAAAAATACGTGTAGGATAATATTGCATCCATTTCCAAAAACTTGAATTTGCACCTGTTTACCTTTCAGTCAGAATCCCTGTACTTCTTTCCTACAAAAATCTTACTGAAAATGTCCATCAGGATATTCCAGAATAAAAACAGATATAACTATATTTAATTTTCTTCAACATGAAGTCAGACAAGGATGTCATCATCTATCCCCAATCTATTCTACACTCTCCTTAATAAAGCAAAGCCACATAAATTACCCTGTATTCCCAATAAAGGGTGAAAACAGAACCAAAGTCATAACTCCAATTAAAAAAAAAAGTAAAGCCACATAGTAAAACATCAAAGTGGTGTAATACAGTTGTATTTTCACTAGGAAATAGGAAATTCACAAGATATTCCTTAGTTTCTTCTCCAAGATTTCATATTGTGAGAAAAAAAAACTATGTGGGAATTATTGCATCATTGTTTCTTATTAGGACTTAAAATTATGAAAGTTTCATTGTTTAATATAAAGATATTTCACGGGAAATAGGAGTGTGCTGTTGTCAAAGAAACTAAAGCAGGTGGTAGTATTTTCCCAGCAACTGAGCACTTAACAAAACTATTTAGCAGGTTAATAATTATTTTTCTGAGTCATCTTCCCCCAAAATTTAGTAGCAAGAAAAAATTCAGGAAATAGGACAAAGTATATCTTGAAAGTTTAGGATCTATTTATCTTTCAGTAGCTAAGGTGACTAAAACTAAAATGAGACTTAACTTTGAAATACAGATCAGAGAGGCAGTAGCTGCCACGCTCGATATTAAATTTTTGTTGGTTAACTCTCAGTAAATTGGAAGATGCAATACGATTTCTGTTGCATCAGCATTAACAGCACCAAGGCTGTCCATAGGATTGCTTTGCCTTTGTCCCTTTCCTGAAAGGGCTTTAAAAGTGTGGAGCCTCAACCGAGGTATGATGAAAACCTGTTCATTCAAAGCCTAGGGAACCTTCTCTTCCCTTCTGTCCATGTCTCTCACCCTTTAACTCAGCAAAAACTGAACTAAAATTAAAAAGCTACCTATAATTAAGGAGAGCCAATGATCAGAAAAGAATTTTTTTATAGGAAAGCTGAGCAGACCAAGAAACTTAATATTTGCCTTTGGGACAAGATCATTGGAAAGTTTCATTAATTTTCTGTTTCTCAGAAAGTTATCTCACCTTTCACTTTCTTTTCATCTACGTGCTTAACCCTACATCCAACTCAATAGATTTTTTTTTTTTATGGTGACATTGGTTAATGAAATCCAATAAGTTTCAGCTATACATTTTAACAGTG